TTCCAACACTGCCCGCACCGAGTGCGCAGGGCCTCGCGTGGCTGCATTGCCGGCAGGGCCCCGAGGCTCGGCCGGTGGAGGCGAGGGTCCTGGTGCGGCCTCTCAGCAGCAGTTGGGTGAGCAGTAGGAAGAGCCAAACAGTGCGCGTAGCCTTGCCTCGGGCATTCCGGCCCTCGGAACCTTCCCACCAGGTGATTCTGACTGAGGACTCTGCGTGCAAACACGTCAAAGCTGGTTGTAGTGAACAGTCCAGAGCAGGCTGCACAGCACGGGGGACGCTGTGTCGGAGCTGCAGGAGCGGGAGGCCGGGAGGGAGCTGCTGGCCGGCCGGGGCGCGTGGAGCTCCGGCCCGCAGAGAGGAGGGCAGGGGCGGCGACTCGGGGCTGCGCGGTAGGCGGGGCCCCTGGCATTTGGAGAAAAGCACCGGGTCAGGTGCACGTCTTTGGACTTCCGGGCACCACCCCTGCGCCAGGCTCTGTGCGGGTGCTGCGGGCTGGGCTGGCGCCCAGAGGAGGCAGGGGGCCAGGCACGTGAGCCGCCTGTCACTGTGGTCTATCTCCCTCCGGGCAGGACTACACCAGCGGCGACATGCTCACTGGCGAGCTCAAGAAGACGCTCATAGAGGTTCTGCAGCCCTTGATCGCCGAGCACCAGGCCAGGCGCAAGGAGGTCACAGACGAGATAGTGAAAGAGTTCATGACTCCCCGGAAGCTGTCCTACGACTTTCAGTAACACTCCTTTTATATGTGCTTATAAAGAGATGTAATTTACCAATAATTCCAGCCCAATCAAATCAGCACTACCCATAGGCTCTGTCACACGGTAATTACTGGATGGTATCTGGAAGCCCTGTGTATGTGTCCGTGCCGTTTTTTTCCCGTGACGTCCTCCTTTCTGTCTCTCGTGGGTCAAACCCTTGGGGTCACTGGGTGCCGGCTAACGTTCATGGTCAGACAGTCCAGCTGGAGTCTCTCCCACAGAGCAGACCCCCATGTGGGACCTTTGGCCCCGTGTCCACAGGCCAGCCTGTCAGGTCCATAGGACAGCTGCTGGTCGCCACACACTCTTCAGACCTGCTCTGTGAAGGAGCGTGGAGTCTCTCTGCGTACCTGAATCAAAACGGCGTTAGCATCAATTAAAATGTGCTTTGAAAAGTCTACGTACAGCAGTGTGATGGGCACAGGTGTAATTCAGGCCATGCCCAAGGGAATTTAGAGGAAGACTTGCCGGCTGAAAGCTTTGCGAAACGTTTGGGTACAAGAGCTCCCAGCTTGGAAGCTGCTTTCCACGTTGAATATTGCCCACGTTGGCCGGGCTTTCTTAAATTGAGCCTTCTGTGGGCGAGACTCCGGTTCCCTTACCACACTCCAGACCGTGCATGCACCCGCTCCAGAAATCGTGCTTTTCCCCGATGTGCTAACACTCCGTCCACCAAGCAATCCCTGACACTCCGCCCTGAAAGCCAAGGGCCGCTTCGCGCTGGTCGTGCCAGATGCTGAGGGCTCTGTTGTCTTTGCAGATGCTTTTGTTTTGACACTTGACTGGCGTGGAAGTCTCTCTGCACAGAGCAGTGCCCCGGGCCAGGTGGACGTAGCTAGAAAGCGCGCGGCAGCCCTCCAGGCCCCGAGCAGCCTGTCCCCGGGAGGCTTGGTAAACCATGCACCCTGTGTAGTTTGGAAAAGCGGAAGACCTGTCTCAGGGAAGGCCCAGGCTTGAGGGGTCTGTGCTTTCTGGAGGTGCAGGGTCCACTCCCTCATGACGCTCGTTGGCGTGAATAAACTTCCTTCGGTCCTGCCTGTGTCGCTGTGCTCTGTCTGTCTGGGCTTCAAGGAGGGACCAAGCCTGCTTCGGGCCCAGGGCGGGGCTGCCGCCAAGTGCGGCTGCTGCTCCAAGGGTGGCCCTCGCGTCCACGGGGTTACCCAGAGGGGACATGGAGTGGAGACACAGCCTGGAAGCCTCCGTGGCCCCAAGGTGCGGGCTCCCAGGAATCCGCTGGGAGGTAGCCTGTCTGCCTTCTAGCCTTTGGCAAGCGCCCTGCTGCTGGCTGTCACAGCTCATGGGACGCCTCCAGCTGCCCAACAGGATGTCGCGGGGCACGGCCATGGGCTGGGCAGTGTGGCTGGTGCGGGAGCCGCCTGTCTGCCTCAGGCCTTGCAGGGATGGAGCCCCAGGCTCCCTCTACCTGCCCAAGCTCACTTCCAGGTGGGGAAGCTGACACTTGAGAGAGGCAATGTGGCTTGTCCAAGGCCTGTCCTGCTTCTTATTTGCTGTGTCCACATGCACAGAGGGCCCGTTGCACAAATGAGGGCGCTGAGGGTCCTTCCCCGGCCTCAACAGCCGCCCCCCGGCCAGAGCCCCCAGCCCCCTCAACCTGGCTGGCTGCGGCCCTCCATGGCTAAGTTCCATCTTGTCGCTCCGTTGCACCTATGTCACAGGTGCACTGAATGGATGAAACGAGGGTAGGAGAGCACATCACCATTGGGCCGCCCCTCCCTGCACAGGCTACGTGACTTTGGGCAGGCCACCTAACCTCTGGGGACCCCCACCCCCACCATACCTCATGCTGGGGTCTTGAGACAGTGCCCCGGGTTAGAGGTCAGGTGACCTCTACCTTGTCACTGCTGGCAAGGGCCACAGCTCCTCCCACCGCCACAGTTCTCTAAAAAAGCAGGTTCTAAGGGGACCCCCTGGGTTAGGACAGACGGGACCCCCTGGGTCAGAACAGACGGGACCCCCTGGGTCAGGACAGACGGGACCCCCTGGGTTAGGACAGACGGGACACCCTGGGTCAGGACAGACGGGTGCAACAGCCCAGCAGTTGCTGGCAGGAGGTCAGGTCGCAGCCCCCATGGTGTGGGGACTCCTGCCAGAGGAGTTCCGCCAGCCTGGGATCACAGCTGAGGTGGGGCTGGGGACGGGGCACAGTGGGGAGCAGGGAGCTCACAGTCCAGGACGAGAACAAGGAAGGAGTCTCCCTGCCATATGATAGATGAGCTCTCCCAGGGAGTTCTGTGCGCCTTGGCCCTTCCCAGAGGCCTACAATTCTCCGGTCTGCTGTGGGAGCCCTGGGGACACCACCCTTGGTCTCCCACTTGAAATTTCAGGTGCAGCCCGAACTCCATTAAGGTGACCACGGTTAATGGGAAGACCCAGCTGGGCCCACCTTCTCGTCTCCATTTCTAAAAGAAGGGGCTGAGTCAGCTCTGCAAAGGGCCTTGTCACCTAGAGAGCATGAGGACCTGGGACCAGGCCTTCCTGCAAAGCCATTTCGCTAATGTGGGTGGGGCCAGCGGCTCAGTGACCCAGTCCCCACACTACCCCCTGGTGACTGGCAGACTGGCAGAGCCTGGAGTACTGCCAATAATTCTTCCCAGGCTAAAGCAAACAGGTACTAGAGGTCTTCTTGGCAGAAGCAGACATGGGGTCAGGGTTTTGATGAATTATCAACAATTTGTTAGTTGGTAGGTAGCCTTTCCCCAGCACCTGGCTAGAACGCCAGCATCTTTCACTCGAAGCCGGATGAACTTACTGGAATCCAGGGCAGGACTTCCTCATTCCACACCCGGTGAGCACCTGCCGTGCTCCAGACCCTGTGCTGGACAGAGTCCGAGGCAGACGTGGGTGGAGCGGGGTGGTGGGTGGGGGCAGATGAGTGACCAAGGAGCCAGGAACCCGTGGGAGCCTAAAAAGCAGCCCCGTGGTCGGGCTGGGAGAGATTCCTGAAGGAGGTGATGCCTGGGGAAAGGGTGTTCCTGGCGGAGAGCACTGGGTGTAAGCAAAAGCTTGGGTCAGTATGAGGGAAGCGGACTGGGACGGGAGGGGAACCAGGAAAAAGCTTCCAGAACACAAGAGGTCCTTCGGTCCAAAGACATAGTCAAGGCCAGGGTCTGTGAGTGAGGGTAATCAAGGCAGGTGTTGGCCGGCTTTACCAGAGCCCTGACCCCTGATAGCCCCCCGTGACTGGAAGCCGCGTGGTGCGGACAGGAGGATTCCAGAAATGCGGGCGCGAGTCTGCCCCTGCCCCCGCCACGGTGGGCAGGCCCAGCTCCCTCTCTGAGCTGCTTGCTCTGCGGTGTCAGATTGTTGTGATGACCCATGTAGGACCTGCCACCCCCTCCCTGACCCCTCCTCCAGGCCCCTGTGGAAAGGTGGCTCACAGCCAATTATCCAGGCAGCGGAGGGGCCAAAAGGGGGTGGGTTTGGGGTGGTGGTAGTGAGGAGAGCAAGCCTCATGCTGAAGGCTGAGTGGCCTCCCGTGGCCGGGCTCAGCGCCCCAAAGGCCAAGGGAGTGGAGCCAGCCAGAGTGCTGGCCTCAGTGTGCCCATCCGCGTTGTGGGAACACTGGCCATACAGGTCTGGAGGGCTGGGCCTCTGAGGACAAGCAGATCGCCCGCCCCACAGACCACGGAGCAGCAGCACCGAGCAGGCCCAAAGACGTTTTATTATCAACAGCTCCCTGCTCAGTCTCCGGGATCTCCCAGAGGGCAAGGGTGCAGGAGCAGGTCTGGCTGTGGCCGTCCGGTCAGTGCCCTCTCTGAGCAGCCCGGTGTGGGGAGCAAGCGGGCAGGTGCCCTAGAGCTCACCAAACAGCCGAGGAGAGCTGCGTGGGGGCCCCGCAGGGAGGGCGGCCAGGGGACAGCAGAGGACTGGATGGAGGCGCAGGCCTGCTCCGAAGACGCGGGCGGCAGAGAGGGGTGACCAGGAAGCTAGAACTCCAATGACGTGCTCCAGCGACTCCATGGGACGGACGTCCTCATCCAAGAGGCCCACTCCTCCCTGGCCATATGACCCTCATGCCAACCCCAGGCTGCTGGCAGATGGTCCCCTCAGACTCCCTGTGGTCCTGTAGCCCCAAGCACAGTGACTCGGGCTCCAGGGAGGCTCGGACTGTCCTGGGCAGCGGCTCTGTGGGCCCAGACCCCAAGACTCTCCTGCGCCTCCTCCAGCCCCCAGGACCTCAGGGAGCTGCAGCGGGTCGGCCCCAGGGGCATCGGGACTGGCTACGCAGTCAGGCCCCGGATGAGCCGCAGCGCAGCTTCGTAGGCGACAAAGACCACCATGTTGACGGGGAAGGCGCGACAGCAGTTGAGCGTCAGCCCCTTGAAGAGGACCCGCGGCCCCTCCTCGCGCACACTGGTCACCACGCAGTGCAGGAGGCCCCGGTAGCGCCTCTGGCCCTGCCCGTCCGCCTGCAGGCGTGACTTGATCACGTCCATGGGGGTGGCCACGGCCCAAGCCAGGACCCCAGCACAGCCCCCGGCCACCAGCACGCCCAACACATCTGCAGGGAGAGAGCCGCGACCGCCTCAACCCCCCCGCCAGCCGGCCGGGGACATGGGGGGGGGTCCCCGGAATGGGGATGCATGTCACGCCCCCGACATGTGAAGCCACACTACAGGTCTGTCCCACTCCTGGCTGGAGGGCACGGACGTTCCCACCCCCAGCGGGGAGCTCCGCAGCACCCGTGTTTGGCCCGAGCGCGTCCACACGACCTCCCCCAGCTCCAAGGCCCACTGTGCTGGGCCCCACCCCGCCTGCCAGGCCCCGGGCCCCCTCACCTGGCTGGCTGTGGCCAGCGGGCGTGAGCTGCTCGCAGAGGATGGTGTAAGACAGGAAGTAAGTGGCGAAGGAGTGGCCGTCGCGGAAGAGCAGGGCCGAGCTGCCCTTGTAGAGACCCCGCAGCCCCTCTTCGCGGGCCACCGTGGCCAGACAGTGCAGTGGCCCTCGGTACTTGGGCCCGGAACCGGCAGGGGGCGCGGGACACAGCGGGTGCGCCGCCGAGGGCCACGAGGCCGAAGGGCGCCGCTGCTGCCTGGGCGTCTGCGTCTGCAGGCGGACCTTGGCCACCTCGGTGGGCGAGGTCAGGAACACCTGCCGCGGAAGGAGGCAGGTAAGGAGGCGCCCGCCACACTGCCTGCACCCCGCTGGGCTTCGTGCCCCCAGGGCACCGCCCCTGGGGGCCCCTCCAGGGCTGGCCCACCGGGCCCAGTGCCTTGGGGTTCAAAGCTCCACTTCTGGTGCAGAACGGCCGGACAACGCAAGAGGTGTTGGGTAGATGCCTATGATTCGGGTTCGTGGAGTATCTATCACGTAGTTAACAGGCGAAGCACATCCGTGTACCACGTAATTAGTAGAAGTCGTGTCAGGACTACAGTACTCGGTACCGTATG